CTTCTCTCTTCTTCCTTCTTCCTCCTCTCTCTTCTTCTTCCCCCTCCCTCCTCCTCTCCATCTCCTCCCTCACCTCCTCCTCTCTCCTTTTTCTTCTCCTCCCTCCTCCCACTCCTCCTCTTCCCCCCCTCCTCCCCCGCTCCTTCTCACCTACCCAGAAGCACAGGGCACTCAGGCTCTGTGCCCAAGGCTAACCACCAAAGCCTCTGGCTTCCAGGACAGATGTACTCAGGGTGGGAAGAACCTCCCAGCACCCACCTCCTGCCTATAGCTTCACAGTTGGGGAGCCTGAGGCTGAGCTAAACTGGGCCTTGTCCAGGTCCCCCAGTGCATGGGGCCATTGGGATGTCAGGGTCCCCAGGGCTCTTCCCATTCACCTGAATAGGATGGATACCTGGGGTGGCCAAGGTTGAAGCCAGCATAGGGGGGACCCTGAGAGCAGGTGGCACTTTGTGGTCAGCCTGAGGCCACTGGGCCTCACCAGATGCATCTGCAACCTCCGTGCCTAGGAGTTTGGGGTCAGCCTCCTGGTGTTTGGGTGGCCCCCCAGGGCCAGGGATGGGGCCAGCGTGGTCCCCTGTGGAGGGTCCTGGAGCCTCGGGGCACACCAGCATCCTTGGAACAGACGTGATCTCCTTGTCTGCTGGCTCCAGGGCAACTGGGGGAGGGGCAGCAGCATCTGTGGGAGAGGCGGGTCAGCGTGTAGGGGTGAGGCGTGGCCTGGGCCCAAGAAGAGGGCGCCAGAAACCTTGTCCCAGTCCTCAGAGGCTGCCCCAGTGAGCTGACTCCAAGCTGCCCTTCCCACCAATCTGACCCACCACACACTCAAGGCAGTGAGCCCAGGACTTTTGAAAACATGGGGGCTCCTCTGGGCACAGGTGGGTCTGGACACCTGCCCTCTGTCTTGGTCCTGCCCCTCAGTCTCAGTTCATCCCATACCTTCACCCTGGGACTGGCCTCCACACCATGGTCCACTCCAGACCCCAGGGTACTGGGCCACCCAGGCCCAAGGGAACCCAGCCCCACACTCTAGGGAAGCCTGGGAACAGCCTGATGTTGTCAGGGGCCAAGGGGTCCTTCCTGCCCTCCCAGGCCAGCCATGCATGGCAGCGGCCTCCCCTCAACCTGCAGCCTAGCCCCACTGAGGCCACTGTATCCTTGTTGCCTCCCTGCCTCTAGCTCCTGGTGCATTTTCCTCCCCCACCTGGGGGTCATTCTTCCTATGGTCACACCACAGCCTCACACATGCCCAGGGATGCCTACCACTCCATTCCCAGCAGGTCCCCCCGCCTGGAGCTCTCCCCTCACCCCAGACTTTTTCTCTTGTTCATCTTCTGTATCCTCAGACCCTCCAAGCTGGAGAAGCGACTAGTCAGTCTGCTGTCTGTGTGCCCTCAATGGCACTGGGACATGCGTCTCATCCTTCCCCAGTCCAAGGAGGTCAACAGACCCCGAACACATCACAACCTCTGTGCCCATCTCACCAACAACCCCCCCGGCACAGATGGTAGGGAGGGCTGCTCAGCCTCCAGAGGGCTGGGAATGACCACTAGTCTTGTCACAAGGTAGCACCTGTCACCAGCCACACAGCCTGTGTGAGCAAGCTACACTGGCGAGCTGTCACGCCTCCACCCAGGGACCCTAGGATGGGCCAGAACCCACAGGCTGGTGTCAGGTGCCCACCAAGGGCTGCTACTGGTGGTCCCCAGGACCAGACATAGAAGGCCCTCCCCAACAAGTCGCCGGAGCCACCAGGCAGAGAAGCAAGAAAGCAGAGAAGACACAGTGCAGGGAACCAGTTTATTATCATCATTGGGGCCATCTGATGGGCCACTTCCCATGCACAGACCCTGGTCCACCCTGCAGAAAGGCTCAGGAGGGCCTGCAGGGCTGTGCCCCGCAGAGGCCTCCCAGAGGCCAAGACAAATGTTCATGGTGAAGATGCGGCTGGGGAGCCCCCACCTGAGAGGAAGACCAGGACCCTAGCCTGGAGCAGACAGGACAAACCTGACATCCCGGCCTTGTGAACATGGCCAGACAGATACAGTGTCCTTGACTTATGTCTAGAGCCCTGAGCCCAGAGTTGCAGTCCATGAGTCTCTCCAGCCTGTACTCTTCAGAGGCTTCTGTACTTTCTGAGACTCCAGATCTGTGTGCAGTGTCCTCAGCCAGACCAGGCCTTGTGAGGTAGCAAGTGCCTGGGGTAGAAGGGGCAGGCAGGCTCCAGCCCTGAGTTCTTGGAGAGTGGAGGGGAGGATCAGAGCACACATATCCATGGGGCACTGGCTTCCTCCACGCAGCCACACTGGCTGCATCAGGGTGCCTGACAGCCAAGCCCCTGATGCTTATGGCCTCAACCCTGGGAGGGGCTGGGGGCCTTGTCCCCATCTGGGTGGATGTGCAGAGTGACCGTCTCACCCACTGTCCCAAAGCTGACTGTCTGGGTGGAAACCTCTGTTTTGAAGCTGCTCTGGCCACTGTCTGCAGACCGCTGGACCTGGGTGCAGAAGGACGGCTTCCAGGAGGTAGCACCCCCAGCCCGCACCTCCTGCACACAGAAGGAGACTCCACTGGGGCCAAGGACTTGAGGCCCTGACGGAGACACTTCCCGGTGACTGAAAAAGCTGGATGGGCCTCGTGGGCCCAGGGGACGCCCCACATTGAGCAGGACAGGCCGCCCCACAGTGGGCTCACTGATCTCTCTCTGAAGCACAGAGACCTCACAGGGTGGGTCATCAGAAGTGCTGGGCACTGGGCCATGACAGCCGAAGGTCTCCCCCTCCCGGGGCACGTAATCCTCCAGGTCAGCCAGCGTCAGCACTCGGCCGTCATGTGTGAGGACCTTGGGGTCACGGCTCCAAAGGCTGTTGGTGCCCTGAGGCTCCTCTGTCAGGAGGGCACCTCCTTCCTCCATCTCCTCCAGGGGAGCCTCTTCTTCAGCTACTTGGGGAGGGAAAGGCTCAGGGGTCTCCTCTGGCCCAGCGTCCATGCAGAAGGTGAGAGGCTCTCCAGCACTGACTATGGTTCTGCCCTGGGCCTGGGGCTCCTGAGCCAGTAACTTGTTGTTGGAATTGTTTGCATTGGGGTCTTCTGTGGGTGTCCCACCTGACATCATGAAGAGGATCCCTGTGGAGCTGTCGGGTGCCTCTCTGGCAGGAGATGCACCCCTGGAGCCCGTCTTCTTCACCTGGACTTCAATAGTCTCCTCAACCTCTACCCACTTGGGTTGGGGCCTCGTGCCCTGGGGCAGGGCCGGTGTGTGGGACTCAGGCTCCGTCACGTACAGCATGGGCACAGTGGGCCTCCAGCCTGGCTCCACCTCAGGCTTTCGAGGCTGGCTGGCCCCCAGTGAGTAGAGCACCTCGGGGGCCAACTGGCCTGGCCTGGGTGGGCTGGCAGTGCGGCGAGAAGGCGAGCGGGAAGGGGACTTGTTGGGGGACCGGCGCCGGCCACGGGGGCTCTTCACCACGGTGGTGATGGTCTCCTCTCTGCGGGGAGAGGGCCAAGAGGAAATGGGCACAGAGACCTGCAGCCTTGCTCAGTGCCCGCACCATCAGCACATGCAGGGGCCACATGAGTGATTGGGTTAGTGTCCTCACAAGCAAGTGGTGACACTGCACAAACTCCTACACATGTGCTTGAGCCCAACCTCTGGAACCTACAGAGAACCAAAGAAACAAAGCACAAAGCCCCATCTGGCTAACCTCAAATTCTAGCGTGCATATCTCAAAACAAGAGTTGAGGCATCAGGGGAGGGCCATTCCACATTACAAGGTGCCTCAAAACCCCAGACTGAGACTGGTTTACAATGTCTCTGTGTGCTAGTCTCTCCTCCATTTATGACCATCTCACTTCGGAGATCCCAGTGCTCTTTGTGCAGTTAATGGGAAGGTATGCAGGGACATAGCCATATGGCCTTCCTTGTCCATCCCACCAGTGCCTTATGCTTTATATCATGTGGGTTACCCCAGTGAGCCCTCAGAGAGCAGGAGCCATCCATAAGATGTAAATAATAGAGATGCTCCTTTCATGGATGAAACATAGAGTTAATCTGTATAAAGCTCAGACACAGTCGCATAGCTCCAGGGATGGGGTACTTACTACTACCCCATGTATTGTGGGGCAGCAACGTGCCTTGGGGGAGGAGGGAGGAAGTTGAGGAAGGGTTAACCCAGGATCTGACCAAATGTCTGATGATAAGATTCTCCATAACTTGGACAACTTCAGGCCCCTTGAGGAGGTCATAGGTCCATGGGGACTAACCAGAGTTTCCCAGCCATCTGGTCTTAGACCAGTTTTTCTTGCCTCCTGGCTTTTGCAAGCTTTTCCACAATCTCCACCTGCACACACCCTCTAGTGGAAGTCCTCCCGATCATCCAGGTCAAAACCAATTCTTCCTTCTGTGGTTTCACTCAGCTCCAAACCTCTTGTGTAATTTAAGTAGCAACAACCCCAGCCTTGAAGGCATCAAAGAAAGGGATGGCGGGCGTGGCACCGGGGAAATGGGTTATCGGTTGGCTTCCAATCATGAGACACCCTGAGCAAGCCTCTTCCCTGAACGTGAGTTTCCCCATCTCCCTAATGCTAGGGTTGGGCTTGGAGACATGTAAGGGACCTAGAGCTGTGCTGCCCACTAGGGTTACACTATTTTAATTAAATGCAAGTTAATGAGAATAACTAAAATCTAGCATTCAGTTCTTCAGTTACAATTGACACATTTGAAATACTTGGCAGCCACATATGGCTAGTGGATGCTCTTGTAGTGTGCAACATAGAGAATACTTCCAACATCACAGAAAGCTCTGTTGGACAGAAATGTCCTAGATTCTAGGGTTTTGATTAGAATTCTGCCTCTGGCCCACCGTGGGAAACAGCTCTCAGTCCCGGCTCCAAACTAACTGGTGTGATTCTGGGTCCAAGCTGGGTGTACTGCTTGCTGTGAAGTATACAGAGTAAGTCTACCCTGCGGAAGCAATGGAGCCATGGAGGCCCTGTAAGAGAGAGCTGTGAAGTGTGAAGTTAGTCAAGACCCCAGGGGAATGTGGGTCCCCTCTGGAGCTTCTGCAAAGTGCTGGCAGTCTGCGTGGTGAGCAAAAGCCATATGGGCAGGTAGTCAGACAAGCAGGTGGCCGGGCCACACAGGCAAGGTCCAGGTGGGTTAGTGGGCATGCAGGGGGCACTGCAGTCAGAAGGAAAGTTAGGAACACGCCTGCACTTACATGATGATGGTTTTCTTGGGGACTTTAGTCTCCTGCTCAGTGACTACAAAGAAAACAGTCGGAATAGCCAGGGTTACAGATCAGCCAGCGCTCAGGAGCTGAGCTGTTTGAATGGCATGGCAGTGTAGTAACCTGCTCGGCTTAGGAGCACTGGATCCAAGCCCTGCCTGGCCTATCTGTCTCAGCTTGAAGCCCCAGTTGTCATCTTTGAAATGGAGATGACAGAGCCTTCTTTGAGTGTCTGGGGGATAAGGAAGTAGAACATCAAATGTGTCTAACATGAGGAAATGAGGGTCTTTCAGGGACTGTAGCAAGAGTAGGGGCCCCATCTGGGCAGTCCACACAGAAATTCCAGCTCTTTCTTCAGCTCATGTGCCAGGGAGCCCTGTGATTTTGTCAAACCTAAGGTCCCACTGCTCAGACAAAAACTGAAGGCTAGGCGTGGGGAAAGGAATGGCTCATGGGAATCAAACTGCGACTGGGATGGCTGGTCCCTGTTTTATAAAAATTCCTAAAGAATAAAGGCATCTCTCCAGGGAGGTGGCATATATGAGCTTTGTAGCATGAGGCCATGAAAATCCCATCAGGAGCAACCAGAAATGCCTGGACAGGGTCCTGAGCTCTAAGTGAGTAGAGAAATTTAGGTCTTCCCATAGAAGCTACCTACAAATTCAACTGCCTTGATTACCCTACCTTTCTACCCCTCTGGAGCCAGCAGATGGAGGATCAGAGTCCCAGAGACAGGATAGGACTCATCTGGGACCAAGCAGCACCTATTCCAACCTGTCTCAAGGTCTCTTCCTCTGCAACTTCTGGGAAGGGCCAGGTTTGCCACAGAGATGCCCCCTCCCAACCACACTCTGCTGGACAGCAGGCAGTCAGCGGCTACCAGTACCCTTAGGTCTCAACAGTCCCTTTTGCCATTCTAGGGACAAAGCTGAGTGGGATGCTCAAAAAACTCAAGTGGCATGGCTTGGGGCACACAGCACCCTGGCTTCATGTGTGGGATTTCAGGCTTTGCTACAGTGCCATATAGAAAAAGGATTTTCCTTTTAGATGACCAAGAGTATTTTAAACTTGTCTCCAATTGGATGCACATGAATTAAATGTACCAGCTGTATCCGTATGGCCCTTGGGAGCCTCATTTATTTGTGTATATGTGTGCACACAAGCATGTGCATGCACACATGCATGTATGTATGTACATGTGCGTGTTTGTGCTAGCTGCCTCCTGGAGAGGGAAGCCCCCTGGGAGAGAGAATGGAATGCACCAACATGCCCTGTGTGTGAGGATTAAGTTGGGGCCAGAGAGAGCCAGCCTGTTTGCCACCTGCAGACTGGACCCTGTGTGCAGAACTCCTCTCCTCGCCCCCCCCCCATGACTGGGGTCCCCTCCTGCTGCTCTATGGGGTGGTAGTCAGGACATGTCTTGGCTGCCTGGTGCTTTTGTTCCTGAACTGGCCAGGCACTTGATGGGCCCTAAGCTCCAGTGAGTACTGGCAGCTATTGGAGAGGTGCAGCCGTGCGAAGCAAGGCTCCTGGCCCAGTGCGGTTCCACAAGCGAGGGGGCAGCACCCACCCCACAAGGCTGGCCAGGGCCGTGCTGGCCATAGAGCCACCAGGTTAAAGATGAAGCGGCAGGATAGGGTTAGGAAGCGGTAGGCGCTGGGCTCCAATCCTGGGTTTGTGAGAACCCGCCTTCTTGGATGTGAGGCACCAGGAGGCTGCCCCTCTTCCAGACTCCACAGCCGTCGGACGTTGACAGAAAGTGACCCATCATGACAATGAAGTGAATGTCTCTGTAGGACATGCTTGTTGCCAGCCTGAGAGGGAGCACTGAAGTCCCTATGCAGCACCCCCCCTACATAAGATGCTACACTGCAGGAAGTGCAGGTGCCTGCAGACATCACAGGATCCTCTGGGGGGCAGGAACAAGGACCCCTGCCCTCTCTGTGATGGCTGTGGAGGGTCTCAAAGGCTGTGAGGCCAAACTTCAGGTGCCAAGTAGGCTGACTGTAGGAGGGTCTAGATAGAGGCGCCCAGGCATGGGGCCCCAGGAAGGACTGGATCCAGTAGCCCAAGGCATCACAGAAGCCAACATTCAGAAGTTGGGAGAACATGTATTCCAGCCCTTCCTACTGTGGGAGCTGAAGCTCCACCAGGTATTAGTCAAGCCTCTGCTTGTATGCCTCCAGGAACAGAAGACTTACCACCTTACAGGTGGGGATACTTGCACTGGGAGAAGCTGTCCCTGGGGCTGCACCCTGCCCCATCAGGCTGCTCTCTGGGACTGAGCAGGCCCAGAACAGATTCCAGTTGCCACCCTCCCCATCCCAGCCATTCTTGGGCTGGGCCCAGCTGGGATCTTGGACCCAGGCATGAGTGGAGGCGTGAGGTGCCCTGCCGCCCACCCTTCACCTCCCACCCCAAAGCACATCTCCCCCTAGTGAGACACATCCCAGGACCGCAGGGGCCACCCCCGGCCAGGTTAGGGAGGCAGAGCCACGGCATTCTGTTTTTCCCATGAACAACCCAACCCCAACACCACTCCCTCTCCTGGGAGCCAAGCTGAGACCCGGCAGCCCTGTGCTCTGCACACGGCAAAGCTGTCCTACCTAATGTTGATGTCAGCTATCACGAGGCCTGGCTGGCTACTGTCCAGCAGCCTGCCTGGCCCAGATAGGACCTTTCTATGCACTCATTACTGCCCCAGAGATGGTGAGGAAGATGCCACCCCCAGGGCAGCCCTTCAGCCTTGCTGAAGCTCTGGGCTCATGGCTCACCTCATGCTGCCCCAGTAGGGCGCTGAGACCCAGCCCTTGCTCCACAGCCTCTGCATCCCCTCCTCTCCCAGCCAGACCCCTCATTGGCCCTCACTGCCCCTCCTCCAAGAAGCACACCTTGATTGGAAAAGCTGGTAGTTTCCCCCAACCCAGCCCCACAGCACTCACCTTCCACAGCTGCAAGCTGCTCTCTGCGACGTTGTTCCCGGGCTCGCACAGCTGGGCTCTGCATGCACAGCTCTGCCCCGCCCCTCGCAGAGCCCAGCCGGTTCACCAACTGCAGGGCAGATGGCAGGAGCCTGCTTAGAGCCTGCGGCTCCCTGTGGACCATGCAGGTCGTTTGTAGTGGGGGCCCTCCCTGGCTGTGTCCCAGAGGCATAGAGCCTATCACCAAAGAAAGGGTTCCCACACAGACCCAGCATTGCCCAGGGTTTCCTAGGCACTGGGGACACTGTCTACACACTTCAGTGTGGTGGCCATATGGGCCCAAGCACGTGCATGGAACCGAATCTTTACCTACAAGTAACTTATTGATTTCAATTCAAATTGCATGTGGCCAGTAGTGACTGAATCAGACAGTATGGGTCCAGAGCTGGCTCAGGTCTGTGTGTTCCCACAGGAACCTCCATAGGGGCCAGGCCCCACCTAGACTGCCAACAGCAGCCACACAGAGGGGGCTTGTAGCCAGGAAGAGCCACAGCCTACACACACCATCCACAGACCACCCCTGGCCCTGCAGGTGGGCAAGTGGCTTTGGGAGAAAAGAGGATGCCACCCAGGGTTCCCATCTGGGTCCCTGTCCCCTGTCATGGACACTGGATGGTGGGCCAGAGATCCCCTCCTTCACTGGGGATACTGGGTGATCGTGGGCCAGGGATCGCTCCATCATCAGGGGCACTGGGTAATGGGGGGCTAGGGTTCTGTCCTCATCATGGTTCAGGGGCACTGGGTGATGGACTAGGAATCTGCCCTTATCATGGTTCAGGGACACTGGGTGATGGTGGGTCGGGGTCCCTCCCTCATCAGGGACACTGGGTGATAGGGGGCTGTGGTCCCTCCCTCATCATGGTTCAGGGACACTGGGTGATGGGGAGCCGGAGTCCCTCCCTCATCAGGGACACTGGGTGATGGGAGGTCCCAAGCTAGTCCCCTCAGCTGCCCTTATGTCTGCCCATGTCACCTCGCACTCATAGTGGCCCAGGTCCTCCTTGTTGGCCGCCAAGATCTCCAACACCAGCAGGCCACTGCGGGGCTCGTTCAGCGTTCGGTATTTGCCGCTGGGTGTCAGCAGGGCCCCGTCCTTGTACCACCTATGGCCAACCCTACAGTGTGAGGCAGAGCCACCCCAGCCTCCCCGACTTGAGACCCTCCTCTCACCCCCCCTGCAGTCTGGGCTTGCACATGGAGCCCACCCACACTTTGCCATCATCCAGCAGACCCTGTCCCAGCCCCCACACTGCCTGGCCTACCTGATCTGGGGGTGTGGGGCACCTTCGATGGTACAGGTGACCTGAACGTCCTCTCCCTCCACAAAGGGCACTGCCCGGACCTTTTTCACAAACCGTGGGGGTACTGTGGGGCCACCGAGTGGTGGAAGGGGAAGAGATATAGAGAGAGACACCATGATGGAGAGGGACCCTACTCCACCAGTGAGTTCCCCAGATGTGGTCGGAATCCACATGGCCACCATCAGCCCCACCCGCAGGCCTGTGCCCCCCATTGAGTCCCCAAAGTAGAGCAGGGTCCAGATGCCCCACACCCCAGCCTCCCTCCCAGGGCTCACCTTGCACCAGTATCTTGCCTAGGGTGCTGGCATTGCCAGCAGCACTGGCTGCGAAGCACATGTACTGGCCGGAGTCCACGCCAGTCAGGTTGTCCAGAATGAGGGCACATGAGCCATCGGGGTCCTCGATGAGGATGTGGTGAGGGTCCACTTCCACTGGCTTCCCATCTGGAAAGGAAGGCAGGGCTGTCACGGAGGGGACCCTGCTGGGGACAGGAGGCTGGCCTGCCTGGGGGGTTGCAGTCATGGGGCAGCGATGGAGGAGCACTTCTGGAGCATGGACCCCTGGCGGGGAGCCTGGCTGGCCAAGCTGACCCAGAGTGCCATTTCCTTCCCCAGACCTCCATGTCCCCTGTGCAGCCTTGCAAAGTAGGCTCCTTGCTGGAGGTAGGGGCCGGGCAGAGGGACCTGGCCCCAACAGACGATGTCTCATTCTGGCACGCACACCTTCACTCATCTGCCCATTGATTCCGTTACTCCCCAGGACCCCACCCAATAGACATGCTCAGACACTGCCAATGTCCCTCATCACTACCCAACTGAATGTCTCCAGCCATCATGCGATTCTCCCCTGCGTGGAGGCCAGGAGAGGTGCATCTTTCCCCGCAAGGAACTGTGTCCTCCACAAATACCTAAAACTTCACAGGGGACCTTGTATGTGCCGAATGAGGCTGTTTAAATAACAGTTCATAAGCAGCATCGTGACCCCTAACTCAGAGGAACCCGTGCCAACTGTTTTTAAGCCACGTCAAGTGACCCAGTCACTTTGGGGAAGAGGACACAGGCAGGCCTGCTAGCAGCCCCATAGAAGTCCAGCGTCTCCTAAAACCTGAGGTTTCTCCACTGGGGGGGCAACCCACTGCCTGCAGCTAACATCTGGCCCCCAAACGTGGGGACTGGCATATGCGGCTCCAGCCAGAAGGCCTTGTTTTCTATCTGTATCTGGCTGGCCTCGTGGTTTCCAAGTGGGGAAACACCCCAGACCCTTCATGCTTCGGTGACAAGAAGGGACATGGTCAGGGACGAGGTGTTCCAGAAGCGAGAGGAGGAGGAAGATAAACAGAAGGCCCCACTGGGCCAGGTAACAGGACCCATGACAGGTCTGTGGAGTCGGTGGCAGACAGCATGAGGTCCACTGGGCAGGAAACCACCCCCCGCCCCTTCCCCACCCCCCCCCACCCCCGCCACCGCCGTGGCCTGTGGAGGAAGAGCCGTGGGGCCAGAGGCTGCAGTCTGGGCACCGAGAAGCAGGGTCAAAAGCAGATCTCTGGGTGGTGCTTTGGCTGATACGCTCCCTCCTGACGCCTGACGTTGACTGGCTTCCTAACAAACACGAGAGCCCATACTGGGTGCAGTCACCAAGTCCGGATGGGCAGAAGGCAGGAGGGCCAGCACCTGGGCTGGGAGGCCAGGCACCGGAAGTTTGTGAAGGACTCCTTTGGATGACAGCAGAGGAGCCATGTCCCCACAGGGAGACTTTGATGCCCATCCTGTGGGCTGGCAGAACCTGCGTGGCATCCATAATGTTGTGACAGGCTGGAGGAGGCAGAGGTGAGTGGAGGGCTATAGGAGCATTCTGACAGGTGGCCCTGAGAAAGACTGGGGGATGTGACTGCTGCTCTGGGCCAGAAGGAGCCCCATCAGCAAGGTCACCACCTTGCGAGGGGTCCCCAGCCAACCAAGGGGCACAGAGCCTCGGACGGTGATGTGACGTGGCTGCTAAGTCAACATCCCCGAAGCCAAAACAGTATTTGCAGAAACGCTGCTCCAGACGGAGTTTTGGGTGAGCCCCAAACGCGGGACATTACTGAGCTGTGGAAGTGTGTTGTGTCTTCCTGCTCCTCCACCCTGACCTGACAGGTGAGCCTTGGTCCCCTGTGCCCAGAGACCCCAGGCAGGGAGAGGTAGGATGTTCACAGCACCTGCATCCACTCATAGGACTTGAATGTCACCTTGAGGCCAAGTCAGAGTTCTGTGGCTGCAACTGCTACCTCTGGACCCAATGTTTGCGGTATGCAGTTCGCGGGCCAGAGGGAATGTGGGGAGGGGACATTCCAGTGTGGACTCTCCAGCGCAGAGGTGGCAGCAGCCACCAGAGGGAGCAGGTGGCTGGGCAAAGGCAACTGCTCCTATGGCTCCAGTAGGTGTAGACAGGCTGCTGTAAGGGGATCCCCCGTGCAGAGCAATGGATCCTGCTCTTCCACCCTCAGGCACGCAGGCACCAGGACCTCTCCGCATTCTCGAGGCGAGGTCTCTGATTCGTGTCCGGGGCCCTCCATTCTGGGCATGTGGCCCCTGTGGGTGGGTCAGCACTTGCCCCTCTCTGCTCCTAACATGGGAAGCGTCCACCCATGACATTCTGCCATTCTGCTGGCTGGCAAGTCAGAAGTCTCCCCACACTGAGTTCCTCCATTTGCAATAACCAACCTTTACCTCTTCGACGCCTACAAAGGGGACCCCCACCTACAGACTCATGCACTGGGACAGAACCTCCTAGGGGACCTTCCCTCCAATTCCCCCTCCCCCGTCCCGTCATCCAGCTCAGGGGAGACCCAGGCTATGCAGTGAGCGCAGCAGCGATCCAGGCCACATGGCGGGGAGCCGGGTCCCAGTTCCATGGGCAGAGCTCAGGGCCAACTGTGTGGCTACACTGGCGATGCTCTTCCCAGTGAAGACTGCTATGTGCCCACCAGCCTTAAGCTGTTGCAAAAGACACAGCCTGAGAGGCTACAGACCGGTCAGTTGAAGACCCCTCCTTGGGGCGGTGAACGAGGTGAGGTTCTTGCATGGGACACCGCTCAGAGGCCAGGCTGGGGGCGGACTCCCCATCCTGGCAAATCAGTGTCTCCATCAGCTACCGGTGGGGTTTCCTGCCATGACGCTGCTTTGGGTCACAGCAGCTCTGTCCCTACCACATGACTGTGTGCGCTGCGTGTATTGTGACAGCATGTGTCAACACGGGCTGACCATGTGGCTGCCCCCACCTCCTCCATCCACCCCTTGGGGAGGCAGTCTGGTCACTGGACACAGCTATCCCCAGCCAAGTTATCCCCTCCAGAGCACTCACTGTCCACTCCTGGGCAGCACGTCCCCCTTTCACTTTGGACGTGGGCCCCGGCCAGCACACCCTCCTGGAGGCAGCCTGGCCAAAACAGGTGGCCCCAGGGGTTCGTTCTTGCTTCCAGGAAACTGTATGAACCACTCTGTCCCTCCCAGGATGGAGGGTATGAACCAGTCCTCACAGGTCAAAGGTCTGGCCATGAGGGGACAGCTGGATGGACAGGTACCCTCCCAGGTTCTGTGCAGGGGAGGCAGCTGGGGATGGACCTCCTCAGACCCCAGGACGAGGTGGCTGCAGGGCCTCCCTCCAGAAGACGACCCTGGGGCCGCTCTCCCAAACTGCTGATGGGAACCAGTCCCTGTGTCCCCCAGCTTCAGCCTGTGGCTCTGACCGCAGGACACGGGGAAGGCCCCTCTTGTGTCCCAGCAACACCACCAGTATCCGCTCTAGCCCCATCCTCAGCCATGAAGGACAAACCAGTGCCCCTGGCTGTTCAACCCGAGGGCCTGCCCCTGGGACAGCTCCCCAAAACTGGGACTGGACTTGGTTATTCAGACTGAACTGAGGACTTGGAGACCTGTCTGCCAGCCCAAGTGACCCACAGTGAGAGTGTCTCAGTTTACCTGGGGGCCTTGGACCATGTCAGATGGCTGTACTACACTGTGGTTTAGGGCTGGGGCTGAAGGTCACATGTCATTAGCTTGACCTCTGCAGGGGCCGTGACAGGTCACCTGTGCCTGCATGAGTGACCCCGAACAGAGGCCCTGGACACAAGGCCACAAGCCACAAGGCTCAGAGGGATGTCCCCAAAGGGCCAGACTGAGTGCTGCCACGCATGCATGCGGGAGGAACATGCAGTCTGCATGACCACTGGGTGGGGGGACCCTGGGACCCTTCCCCATGTTGCTTTTCCCATTCCTGCAATAAAGCACACCCTGAGCGGAATGTTCTGCTGAGTTCTGTGAGTCCTTCAGGTGATTCATTGAATCCAAAGCTGGTCGTGACCCCCCCAAAGTGAAGTTGATGCCAGAAGTGGGGCTGGTCCCGGGGGCCCCCAGAATACAGCCGGTGTCAGAAGTGGGGATGGTCGTGGGGACCCCCAATGTGCAACTGATGCCAGAAGTGGGGGTGGTCCCTGGGGACCCCCAGAATACAGCCAGTGTCAGAAGTGGGGGTGGTCATGGGGACCCCCAAAGTGAAGCTGATGCCAGAAGTGGGGGTGGTCCCCGGGGACCCCCAAGCTGCATCTGGTGTCAGAAGTGGGGGTGGTCCCAGGGACCCCCAAGCTGCATCTGGTGTCAGAAGTGGGGGTTATCCCATGGACCCCCAGAATGTCAGAAGTGGAGTGCTCCCAGAGACCCCCGAAGTGCAGCTGATGCCAGAGTGGGGGTATTCCTGGGGACCCTGACCACAGAGCCAGCCTCAGTGCCCTCTCCCTGCTCCTGGCCTCCTGGTTGCCCACCCAGAGCTCCTGAATGTTCACCAGGGAGGCCTGCCAGCTGCCCCCTCTGCCTCATTTCTCTAGCTGGCCGTGTCGCCTTCATGCCACATGTTTGTCTCCTGGTTTGCCATCTGTCTCCTCCCCTAGACGACCAGCACCCCTTGGCAGGGCCTGGTACCTGGGACAGGGTGTGAGCCCTCGGAGAGCTAAGGAGTGGGTTTGGGGTGGGTACGATCACTGTGTCGGGATCATGGGTGCACGCCCTCTGACTCTGTCCCACCTCGTCCACCCACGCACCCACCCAGGCTGGCGGTGATTGTGCCCAGCCCCCCAGCAGGCCGCCCCTCATTCCCCAGCCCCTGCCCGGGATGGATTCCCTCCCAGCGCCTCTTCCTGGTGCAGGATCAACATCCCTTGAGCCCCAGGGGCCTACCTTTGTACCAGCTGACGATGGGCTTGGGTGTGCCTATCACACGGCAGGCCAGCTTGACAGTCTCACCCAGCTCGGCTGTGCAGTCTGCCAGCTCCTCTTCGAAATCTGGGGGTTCTAGGTGCACGCGTGCACACACACACACACACACACACACAACACACACACAGGCTTTGAGCTCTTGGTGGGTGGGATAGCCCCCCCTCCCAAGTCCTTGGTGCGTCCCTGGCACAGCCAGAAGCCTCAAGGTCAAAGAGTGAGATTGTTATGGACACCACCCCTTGCGACCTTCCATCCAGGACCTGGGTCCGATGGGAGTCAGGGTGAGTGAGGCAAGCTGGATGGGTAACAAAGAACCGCGGAGAAAGGGGATCCTCTCTCCTGTCCTAGGTGGGGAAGCCGACCTGGGGTTACCAGGTCCTTCACGTCCCTAACAGTCTGGGTGCCTGTCTTGTGCTGGGGTGGGGGGCTGTGTGAACCCCGAGGCTTCCTGTACTCAGGTCAGGCTCAGGCTCCCAATCTGGCAGCACTGCCATGGCCAGGACACTCACGCCACACGGGCAGGGCCAGGCGCTGCTGGATGCCGCAGATCTCCTTCACCCAGGAATTCTTGGTGATGACCGTCCGCGCCTGCAGCAGATACTTGCGCACAGAGTCCTCTCGCTCGTGCCAAACCTCGAAGGCGCGGTCGTCACCCTCCACCTGGTCATTCAGGTCGATGCTGCTCAGCTGTGGGGGGAGGCGGGATGCAAACTGACTGTCTGGAAGCAGGACTCCACACTCCCTGCCCAGCCGGCACCCCCTCTGCCCCACTTGGGCTCCATGGGCACCCGCAAACCTTCATCATGTTCCGGAAGACATAGCTGAAGGTGTCGGTGCGGGAATCCCGTCTGGGCTTGCAGACCACCAGGTGGTGGCGGAACAGGAAGACATGCCGATGGTGGCCCTTCCAGGGCATCCGTGCGCCCGGCGCCCCCTCCCACACGATGAAGTGGCCCTGGGGAGCATTTGGCTCTCAGTCAGCTCGGTACCTGGCGCCCACATGGCCCCACCCAGGCCCTCCACCGCGCCCAGCACCCAGCACCCACATAGCTCCGCCAGGCCCTCCACCATGTCCTCTACCCCGCATCCATGTGGCCCCATCAGGCCCTCCACCCTGCCCTGCACCCGGTGCCCACATGGCCCTGTCAGGCCCTCCACCATGCCCCACACCCCGCACCCGATGGCCCTGCCCAGGCCCTCCACAGCACCTCACACCCCGCACCCACATGGCCCCGCACCAGGCCCTCCACCGTGCCCCATTCCCCCCACCCACGTGGCCCCGCCAGGCCCTCCACCGCGCCCAGCACCTGGCGGATGGGCTCGCCCAGGGCCTGCAGGGTGCCTGGGTAGTTCTCCATGAGCGACACATGCAGTTGGTTCTCAGCGCGCTGCGGCAGGGCCGACACCACGGCATATGCCTGCTCCAACAGCGCGCAGTTCTGCCTGTTCCTCGCCTTGTTGCGGATCAGCTCCTGGGGGAGAAGGCGTCAGGCCCGAGCCCCACCGCCCGCCCGTCTGCCTGACCGCCCACCAAGGCCAGGGAGGGCGGCCACGCGGCGGCCCTGTACCTTGAGCAAGGCCTGGTACTGCTGGACCCGCTCCACAGGCTGTTCCAGGAAGTGCTGCAGGGGCGGCGGTGGTGGCTGCGAGGGGTCTAAGGCTGACAGCACGTCTTCCGTGTATTTCTGTGGGAACCGCAGCACGGGGTTGGGGACACACATGTGCACCCCCGATGGCCAGTGTTACCAGGGCGGAAAGCTGGAGGGCTGGGGCGTGGGGTACATGCACATGTGTATACACGTGCACTGCTCCTCCCTCCGGTGGGCCTCACACCCTCCTCCTGCCCCCCGCAATGTCACCCTCTGAAGCTGAGCCCAGAGCTTCAGGGGCCCTGCTTTTCTCAGAAAACTATGAGGCATGGGCTGGGGGGCACCTTGTAGAACTCCTGCACTGCTGTGCTGACCACCGCAGACTCGGCTTGTACGCGGCCTACCAGGAACTCCAGGTACTTCTCAAAGGCCGCCTGGTTCTTGATGAAGCACATGGCCACATCGTCATCCGTGTCACACTGCTGCAGCTCCCTCTGGAAGCTGCAGAACAGGGGACAGTGGTCAGGGGGATGGTGAGCCCTCAGGCTGGGGGAGAAACAGGCTGCTGCCCAGGTCTGGGCTGGAGAGGCTGCAGGTGCGGTGTGTGAGGGCATCCACATCTGCACACATGACGTGTGTGTGTCGTGTACACATGCATGCCCACACGTGTCAGAGTGTGCGTCTGAATGCAGGTATGCACGCCTGTGTCTGTGTACACAGAAGTGCATGTTGTGGGACGTGCCTGTCATGTGTTTGGAGAAGTTTCTGGAGCGTTCTCACATATGGGTGCTGGCAGCAGGCAAGGATACTACAGGCGCTTCTGTGGGCGAGCCAGGTATACATGCCTATGTTCCTAGGGACATCTGTGCCCTTAAACAGGGGTGTGGTGCGCCAGTGGGTAAACCCAGTCAGTGAAGTTCTCTCAGGCATGCGTGAGCATGTGTGCGCATGCATCACTGATATGCATGCATTCGTCTTTGTGCACTTGGGACTGTCATGTGTGTTTGTACCTTTGTGCATGCCTGGCTGGCCCATGTGCATGTGTCTGTGTGCACACCTGGGGGCTCCGGAGCAGCCGTGGGGCCTGCCTACCCTCCGGAGAAGCCGTGGGGCCTGCCTACCCACCTACCTGCTGTGGAAATGGCTGATGTCCTGCACATTTCGAAAGATGACAGCCTTCTGGGAGGCCACAGCCGCAGGTACATGGGGGCAGTGGTCCAGGTGCTGCATGTGGTGGCTTTGCAGGAACTGCAGCTTGCCCACAAAGGCCTGCTCAGAGCTCAGCAGCTCCTGGATGATGGAGCTGGGAGGGGATGGGGTGAGGAGAGACCCAGGAGCTCCTGAGGGGGGGCGGGCGGCCTCCTCCTCCCATGCAGCCCACCGCCGCCCACCTTCAGAACGAGCCCGGCAATGTGGGCAGCACCCCCAAGGCTACCTGGAGGCCACAAAGCCGCTCCTGCCCCTGCCTGCCGGACCCTCACCTTAGCCTTGTCTTGTATTCATCCTCAGACACGGCCTCCCCCGGGAACTCGGGGGCCTCAGTGGGCCCCCACTCGGGTGACAGCTGGTGAGAAAATGGGGGATGGTGGCAGGTGGTCCCATCTCTGGCCCAGCCCTACCCTGTGGGAGGACCCAGGGGTCCATCTCAGGACCCCGCCCCAGCCATCCAGTACCTTGAGCCGCCTGTCCAGGTAGGCAGGGGACACCCAGCCCTGGCGTGAGGGGCTGGACTTGGTGGGCTTGGTGCGCACAAGCCAGCGCAGCGGGTGGGCGGAGTCCAGCACTTCCACATACTGGCCCTCCCGCAGTGAGATGGCATCCTGCTCGGCCCCCAGGGGCAGGTAGTCAGCCGTGACCACATAGATGTCGAAGATCTGGGGGGGATGATGCCAAGTCAGACCAGAGGGATGCCAGCCTGACCTACCAAGACCCCCACAGCCCCCACAAAGACCCCAGAGCGGGGAAAACCCAGACTGGAGCCAGCCGGGCCTCCTGAGGCTGCGGGGTGCCTGGCATCACGTTGGGGGAGAAGCCATCCTGAGGTTCCAGAAGTTCCAGGACAAGCTCAACCCAACTCTGCTGATGGAAATCCCATCAGGGTGGCAGTGAGGCCACCCCAGAGGGCCCAGGGGTCCAGGCCATCCCAGGTGGCAGTATTGTGCTCCCACTCCTCCCCCCACCGGTGCCCTGCCCACTGCCTGCCCCCCACTGCCCCATCAGAGCACCTCGCCACGGGAGTCCCCATCCTCCGACTCCGAGGATGACTCCTGGACGCTGGAGGAGGGGCGGGAACGGCCATGCCAGGGGGATGCAGACGGTGTCTTAGATTCCTCATCGCTGTCACCTCCAGGCACCTGCAGCTTGGCTGGGGGCATAGGGCATGTGATGCCCAGGAAGGGCCTGGCCCATATCCCCTCCCCGTGGGTCCCCAGGGTGCATGGACAAGGGAATTCAGTCACTGCCCCTACCCTCGCCCCACAGCCAGCGGCGCCCTCACCCTGCGTGATCTTGGCCGACACTATCTCTGTGATCTGGGAGGTGAGCTTCTGCAGGAACTCCTCTGTGCCCACCTCGGCCAGGGACAAGTGGCTACGGGCCTCCACCGCCATGGGCTCTCCTGGGGACCAGAAGCTGGCTCAGCTAGCTGCAGGCCCTGCCGACCTGTGCTCTCCAGGCCTGGACCTGGGCTCAAGTCTCAGCAGTGCAGAGGAATGCACAGACTTGGGGCCATCACTGCTGGAAGCTTTGCAGGGTCGGGTCAAGAGTGAATGAGGGCTGCCTGGATGAGTGGGGGTCAGCCGAGAAGTGACCCCAAAGGTGGGCAACCAGCACACAGAGCACATGGCCTTCCCTTCTCTACTTCTGTGCAGACTCCCTGCTTTCCATTAAAAAGTTACAAATACCCCAAGGTGCCAGAAGGGCCTGTGCAGGTGGCCAGGAAATGAGCCGAAGGACCCTGCTGGGGACGGGGGAGAATCCAGGACAGATCAGGTCTGGACGCTGGCATGCCCAGCACCTGCCTCCTGCACTGCCTTCACCTAGCCATCACTGCCACCTGTGTCCAGGCCAGGCATCCACACAGCCCACTGGGCGTGAGCTGTGAGCCAAGGGTCAGATCTGCAAGGCTCAGAAATGGCCCTGACACCAACTAGCATTCAGAATCAGGCCCAGGAGAGGGCAGGAAGCCCTGGCCCAGAGAGGATGAGCAGGTATTTCTGGAGCAGCTGTGGGCCTGGAGCAGCCTCCTCCATGCCTCACCCCTGCACTGGGTGCATCGACCCCCACCCTGCTCCCTGCTCCCAATCAGCCCATACCTTTCCTCTGCCCAGCAAGATCAGTGAAACCTGCAGGTTCTGACATCTGCGTGGAGACGGCTTGGGTCCTAAAGGGGAGGGGCATCCTGAGGGAATGCTTCAGCCGAAGCCCTGGTGTTACAGTGGGGACACTGAGGCACAGAGAGGGACAGGGCCTGGCCCAAGCCACAGAGTCCTTGAGGGGCAAGGCTGGGCTGCAGTCTGGATGGGGTTCCCTCCCAAGGGCGGCAACGCCCCACTCCCAGGCCTGCTGCTGCTGACCTGCTTCCCCTACTCACCCCTGCAGGAAGGTGGAGATGAGGGCCTCCTTCACCCCAGCATGCTCCTCTGCTGCCCCTGCCTCCTTGGGCACTGTCAGGAGAACAGGGTGAGCCTCAGGATGATGCCCCACAGCCCTGAGACAATTCTGGCGGGGACCTGACCCAGGGTGTCTACCCCCCAGCAGGGACCTTGACCCTGGCCCTTGGGAGGTGGAGTGGGGCCCAGGAGGAAAACACTCAGCGGGGCAGGAGGCTTCTAGGAGGGTCTCATCCAGCTATGCAGAGCCTACAAGACAGGGGTGGGAGCTGGCCCATGGGGCTCTGTGTTCAGGGGGCCAACAGGAGAGGGCTCTGGGTCGGGGGCTCAGTGAAGGTCAGCTGCCCGCAGTCACCCACGCCCACTCACGGCCAGAGATGTGCAGGCTAGCGGAGCAGAGGGCCTGGCCAGCGCTGTTGCTGGCGATGCAGGTGTATGTGCCCTGGTGCTGTCTGCCCACATCCAGCAGGACCAGACTGTGCTGCTGTGCAGAGCTGGCCACCGTGTAGCCTGGCGTGTCACGGCCAATCCACAGCACGCCTCGCTCAGCCTCCTCCCGCAGCCAGTGCACGGCTGGGGCCGGGCACCCTGTGGGCAGGAGGGAACAGTGAGGGAGACTTGGGGAGATGGGAAGACTGAAGGGCCTTGGGGGGAGTCCTAGGTAGGAAGAGGGCAGGGCCCTCTCTGATCCTGGGGGAGGGGTCCCAGGTGGGAAGAGGGAGGGGCCCTGCTCTGATCCTGAGGGAGGAGTCCTAGGTAGGAAGGGGGCGGGGCCCGCTCTGATCCTGGGTTTGGCTGTCCTTGTCAAGGGGCAGGACAGTAGGAGGGCCCCACCTTCCACCTTCACTGAAAAGGTGATGCTGGAGCCTTTCTTCACTTTCTTGGAGGTGAATCTTTCCAGGAATCGGGGCGGCACCAGCTGCTGGTACACATCTGGAGAAACAGCAAGCATTGGTGATGAATGCATGTCGAACCCCTGCTCCCCATCCTCGGGGCACCAAGGCCCCCCCCCCCCCAGGCCCCAGCCCCATCCCATCTGGAGGTTGGGTCTCCACAGCCTACAGTGCACCCTCCTCCACCTGCGACGCTGTGTCCCTCACTCACTTTGCTGAGCCATCCACCCACCTCTGCCCACCCGAGTCGGCTCACCTGATTCTGGCTTCTCTTCGGGATCTTTGGGACCTGAAAGAGGCAAGAAATGGAAGTCAGGCCTGTAGCACCAGGGGGCCTCCCTCCTCTGGGCCTGTGCACCTGCTGGGGGTAGGAGTCTGTAGGGGTGTCCCACCCACTCTCATACACACAACCCTCCACGGCCCCAAGAGTGTGGGCGTCGATCTGGAGCCAGCACGTGGGGTGGCACCGAAGGGCGAGTGAAGCCTGGGCAGAGCTGGGTCCCTCGGCCACTCCCTCTGGCGTGACCTGGGAGCACCTTGCGATGCTCAGAACTTGGGACAAAGGAGCTCATACCCATCCTCCAAAAGTGACTCCTGACCTCCTCCTCCGCAGTCTCCTGGTGCTCCCACACTTGTGGGTCTGTTTCACTGCCTGCCTGCCCCCACCCAGGCCACTTGCACTGCCCAGGTGGGGACACCCAGTCCCCCGCACCCACCTCGGACCAGCAGCCGGGCTGATGAGTAGGCGGCGCCCACGGCGTTGCTAATGTAGGCTGAGTACTGGCCGGCATCCTCCTTGGTGACAGATACAACCTCCAGGGTGTGAAGCGTCTTCCTGTCAGCCATGCGGATGTGTGCAGAAGCCGTCAGGGGCTGCCCGTCTTTGAACCAGTACAGCCGTGGCGCTGGGTAGCCTGGGACCACAGGGGACTGGTCAGCACACAGCCCCCGGCCAGCGCGCCCTGCCCTCAGAACCCCCGGCCCCCATGCCCACCCAGCCTCCACTGTCCAGATGGCGCTCCAGGCAATCTGTCTCTCTTCCTCACCTTTCACTTTGAGCTGGAACTTGGCCAGGCGTGTGCCAGGGGCCACCTGGAGGTCCTTCATCTCCTCCACCACCTGGGGCAGCTGCCCCTCCTCTGAGGTAGACTCCGTGCCCTCTTGCTCCCGGCTGGTGGGAGAACAGAGAAGGGGCATGAGGTGGACCAGCAAGGGGTCAGGCCTGGATGGCTCCTGCAGACCCCTGCTTGCTGGCAGGACACTGCCAGGGCCTGGCTGAGAGCTCCAGGACTCAGGTTCCGTCTGCCCAGGCCAGCACTGCCACCCCCCTGGGCCTGCACCACCAGCCTGCTGGGTGCTGCCTGCGTCTACATGGACCTCTACCTGGATAGGTAGCCTTGGGCGCTGAAGTAGGAGGAGGTCTCCGTGGCATCGGCCGCAGTTTCATAGTCCGTGCTGGTCACTGGGAGAGGAACAGTGGCTGGAGTGAGCTCTGTGCCCCACCTGCCCAGGCATGGCCCCCCACCAGAGGCTAGCCACCTGGCTCTCAGTGCGAGCCCATCCCTAGGAGCCACTGACACTCCTGGGGGAGAGGCCATGGGACACATGGTAGACGGTGTCCCCTCCACACCCCAGGTGTCTCCATGTTTCCAGGCCTGTATCTAACTGCAAGTCCCAACAAATTGTCAATACTGGGTGATGCTGGGCCTTGTGACTGGCAGAGAGCAGCCACAGCTGTATCCTCCAGTCTTCCCCACTAGGGAACAAGGGGTGACATATACAGCCAGCCGTGAAGGAGTAACAGGGTTTGGACTCACCCTCTGCTGTAGGCAGGATGTTCGTGTCCCCTTGACCTCAAATGTGGAAACCTGCAGTGTGCTGGTGTCAAAAGCGGGTGCTCTGGGAGGTAGTCAGGGAGTCAGGAGCTCCTGACAGCGGAGCCCCCACCATGGCAATGGCATTAGTGCCCTGACAGGAAGCAACCCCATGCGAGGAAGAGCTTGACTGCAGCCATGAGCAGTACACTTCTGTTGTTTCTACCACCTGGTCCCTGCTGCAGTAGCCCCAACAGCCTCCCCTTCCCCCATACAGAATATGTGGGACAATGGCTGTGATAGTGTGATTTATAAGAAATACGGAATCAGCCCTTGTCACTGTTCCTGGCTCAGAGGTCCTAAGGCCCTTGGGTTTCCCAACTGAAGACAGCAATGAAGGTGTCACGGTGTTCATAACAAGCCCAAATTCATGTTGTTGTGGTGACTTTAGAAAGCCCCTAGGGATGGCGGCTGGTGGTCTGTGGACCCCACCGTGGGACCAGAGAGTTGGAGGCTTCAGTCCTGCCCCTGACCTCTGGGAAGGGGAGATGGAATCAATCACCAATGGACAATGTGTTAATCGATCATGTCTATGCAATGAAGCCCCATGAAAACTCAGAGGGACAGTCTCAGCATTGGGGGGGATTGAAGGCTGGGGAGCACGTAGAGACGTGGGGAGAATGACGTGCTTGGAGAGGCATGGAAGCTTCCCATCCCTTCCCCAGCATCTTGATCTGGGCGTCTCTTCTAACAGGCTATCCCTGAGTTATATCCTTTTGTAATAAACCACTAATCTAGCAAGTCAAACATTTCCCTGAGCTCTCTGAGTCCCTCCAGCACATTCATCAGACCCGAGGAGGGGCCGTGGGAACCTGTGATCTGTTGCCTGTGGGTCAGAGCACAGGTGATGTCTGGACTTGGGGTTGGCGTCTGAAGTGGGGGTGGTCTTGTGGGGCTGAGCCTGTGGGGTCTGATGCCATCTCCACATCGATGGGGCCAGAGCTGAGTGAATTGTAGGACCCCCAGCTGGTGTCAGAGAATTTCCTGTTGATCCCTTACAGATAGGAAATAATGGTGAGCCCTGTGATCACCCCAGCTTCCTGCCTTCAGTGTCCAGGTCTAGGAGGGGAAACTGAGGTTGGCAGAGCCAGGTAGACCCTGAGTTGAGGAGACAGAGTTGGCATCCTGGGAGATGAAGGCTGCTGGAGTCCACAGGACAGAAGCCAGAGAAGAGAGAGCTGCACACAGAGAGTGGGGACCCTCTCACTGGAGGGTCAGCAAAGCACTGACTGGCATGTGAACATGGGGAAAGAGACCTCTGAAGGGGCCATGGACACAGTGCGGAGGATACTGTGTTTCTAGTCAGACTGGAAACTTTCACAGTCTGTGGATCAGGTGCTCAGGAAGTCTTTCCTTTCAGTAGAGGGAGGGAATCAGCCCAGCTTCCTGGGCCCCACCTCTGAGGAGGATCTCAAGAAGGTCTGCAGACACACTGATCCTAAAACTCATGTAGAAATGCAAAGGACCCAGAGGCTCAAAACAGTCTTCAACAAGAGCAAAGTTGGAGGACCCACATGTCTAGATTTCAAAACTTACAATGAAGCTACAGCCATCAAGACAGCATGGTGGTGGCATGATGGTCAGATCATGGATAAATGAGACAGAATGAAGAGCCCAGAAATAAACCCACTTGTTTCATGGAAATGAGATTTTGACAAGAGTTCCAGGACCATCTTATGGAGGAAAATAGTCTTCCACAAACAGTGCTGGAACATTGGATTTCCACAAGACAAGGATGAATTTGGGCCCTTAGCCTCTCACCATATACAAAAAGCAAACCTAAATGTCAGAGCTAAACCTGTAAAACTCTTAGAGGAAAGCATTGTTGTAAATGTTTATAGCAAAAACTAGGTGATGGTCTTGTAGACATCACAACAAAAGTACAAGCAAGCAAAGGAAAAGTAGTGGACTTCATCAAATTGAAAATTTTGTGTATCAAAAAAGTGGAAAGAAAACCCTCAGAATGGGGAAAAATGTTCAAAAATCATATATTTGATAATGGCCTAGTACGCAGAATATATAAAGAACTCCTACAACTCAAAATCAAAACCCAATCTGAAAATGGGGAAAAGACCTGAGTAGACATTTCCCCCAAAAAACATACACAAATATCCAATAAAAGATACATGAAAAGATACTCAACCTCATTAGTCACCAGGGAAATGCAGGTCAAAACCACACTGCTTAGGGCAGCAATTACTAAAAACCCCTGGGTGGCTCAGTCTGGTTGAGTGTCCAACTTTGCCGCAGGTCATGATCTTAAGGTTCGTGGGTTTGAGCCCTACATCAGGCTCTGTGCTGACAGTACAGGATCCTCTGTCTCCCTCCCTCTGCCCATCCCCTGCTCGCTCTCTATCTCTCATAAATAAATAAACATTAAATTTTTTTAATAAATAAAAAGGTGAATAATAACAAGTACTGATGAGGATGTAGGGAATTTGAACCTGCATCCATTGCTGGTGGGAATTGACAATGGCACAGCCCCTGTAGAGCATGGCCATTCCTCCAAGAGTTAGCCACAGAATTGCCGTATGACCACGTGATTCCACTCCTAGGTATGTGTCCAAGAGAACTGAACACATATGTCACAAAACACAATTACTTGTACACAGATGTGTGCAACAGCATTACTTATAAGACCCAAGACAACTGATGGATAAACACCACCTGATGAATGGATAAGCAGTCCACATACAAGGGAGTATTGTTCAACCTGAAAAACAGATGAGGTACTGATGTATTTTACAACACACATGGATCTCTGGGACATGTTCAGTGACAGGAACCAGACACAAAAGGCCACGTATCATATGATTCCATTTATATGAAATGTCCAGAACAGGCAAACCCACAGAGACAGAAAGTAGCTTAGTGGTCTCCAGGGGCCAGGGAAGGCAGAGTGGGGATTGACAGTGAATGGACACAGGGTTTCTTTCTGGGATGACAGAAATGCTCTGGTGTGGGAAATAAGCATAAGAATTCCCTGAGCTTGGGGGCGCCTGGGTGACTCAGTTAGGTGTCAACTTCAGCTCAGGTCATGATCTCGCAGTTCTAGAGTTTGAGCCCCACCTTGGGCTCTGTACTGACAGCTCAGAGCCTAGAGCCTGCTTCGGATTCTCTCTCCCTCTCTCTCTCTCTCTCTCTCAATCTCTCTCTGCCCCTCCCCCACTTGCACTGTGTCTCTCAAAAATAAGTAAATGTTAAAAAAATAAAAATAATAATTCCCTGAGCTTGCACTAATGAGTTAACAAGGCTTAGGATGGAAAGCTGCCTTGACAGGATGAAAGTGTCCGAGACCAGTTAGAGGCGGAAAGCCATTACAGGGTAGAAGCACCTGACGTTAGCTAGAGAAAAGGTGCTTTGTTAGCCTTGAGGCACCCTGCTCCAGCAACCTTACACTTTGGAGATAGGAGCTGCTTGGCTGTATCACCCACAGAGAAACACTGTCCATCTGGTGTATCATTGTGCTTTAATCTCAACTTTTTTTTTCAATATATGAAATTTATTGTCAAATTGGTTTCCATACAACACCCAGTGCCCATCCCAAAAGGTGCCCTCCTCAATACCCATCACCCATCCTCCCCTCCCTCCC